TATGTTTGGGAAATTATGGTGAAAACATGGAAGTGGTTGTCTATGTAAAAGGATATAATAAAAAAAAATGGTTGGATGAGATTCTTACAAACGTAGACGATGATATTTCAGTCAGAAATATCGAGGAAGATTATCCATACATGCAACCACTCAGATTTCTCGATTCAACAAATGCATTTAATTGTGGAGAACACACCGATCATTGCGCTATGGAGAACGTGTTAAAACTATACAACTGGTGGAAGCAAAACGGAATGAATACCTCAGCATAAATGGAAGAGAATTATTCAAACTGGTGGCGGTCCTAAATAGCAGATACTGGTGGCGGTCCTAAATAGCAGATACTACTGGTAGCGATCCTAAGTAGCAGATAAAAAAAAACGGAATGGATACAACATAATATATAAATCTCAGCATAAATAAAAGAGATTTATTAAACTGGTGGCGGTCCTAAGTAGCAGATTTGTTAGAATCTTTTTGTTCTCATACAAATATTGAATAAAAAACTTTTTATTTACCACATATGAGAGTTTTAAAAAATAAAATGAAAGAAGGACTATTTTATTTTCTTGTTCTAATTTTTTCTCCTTATATAATATCCTATTTCCATATCGCGAAACAGTAAATACGTGTATGCGTCATCCATGTGTATACGACGTGTATGCGTCATACGTGTATACATTGTCATCTCGCTCGATTTTTATCTATATATATCATACTCGCGTTTTTTCCCATACAGTACGTAGTGAATCACACCTCAATCATTCTCGAGAAGAACTGCCATTTGCATCGTGAACCGAGCATGTCACTCGCATTCACTTTCATCGTCATCGTAATAATCACGATCGCTCCGACCATTTATGGATATAACGAAACAAAAATAATCCATTATCTTAAACAATATGGCTATTTACATGAAAACAACACACTAACAGTGAATCATCATGAGGTATTAAAACACGCGATCGCACTATTTCAAGAATATTATCAGCTTCCCGGGGATGGTCATCTAAACAACGCTACGCTACATTTAATGCGTACACCACGATGCGGACTCGAGGATATTCCACATCGAATGTTCAGCACGGAGGTAAAAAAATGGCAAAAGACAAATCTCACGTGGAATTTTCATCTAGCGGACAAATCTGCAATAGAAGTAGCCGAAAT